ATTTGCTCGCCGCGATTGGTCAGCGCCAAGGTCAAGCGAGGCGTTGGCCAATCAATACGGCCAAAATTTCTTGCCAACTTTTTTGCCAAGTGTCCAGATTAGGGCTGTGGTATGCGCTAGCCAACTCGGTTACCGATCCCCCCATAATCAATTGTCACTTGCGCAGTGGACAGTGTCAATTCCTAGTCGACCTTCTGTTTTTGAGGCAGAAAATATTGGAGAATGACATTCACAAAGGCTGACAAACACACAGTTACCATTAGGGATGCCGCGAACTTTTTTCGAATCGAAGTTTCGATGATCGAATCAAGCGGTTCGAAAGGTTCGAAAGATTTCGATTTTTCGAATTGTCTTTATCGTAAAATTCGACGGAGGTCGAATTTTCGAATTTGTTAAGCTAAGAAGTTCGACGCTTTTCGAACCGTCAAACTTATTACGCAAAAAAATCGATATTTTTCGAACTTATTGCGCTGCAAGGTTCGATGCTTGTCGAACTTTCGAACTTGACTGACCAAAAAATTCGATTAATTTCGAACTTTCGAACTTATTTATCAAGAAAATTCGAAAAGTTTCGAACTTTCGAATTCTGAAAAGTCAGAAGTTCGACGAACTTCGAACTTTTAGGGTAAAAATTCGACGTTCGTCGAACTTCGAAAGACCGGCGGACGGTTTCATTTGATTTCAAGTAGTGGGGTACATTCGTAATTTTTTTTTTCTCGAACTTTTACACGCGGTGCTGCGTTTCTTACGAAAGACAATGTCATTTATTTCAATGTTCTGGCATGCTTAGGTTTAAAGAAATAAATCCCCGAAGGGGCGAGGACGGACGACGGGTTTTTGACGATTATCGTTTGTGCCAGATTTGAAGCACGCTGCAGCCGGAGCTATTTATGGCAGATATGTTATACTTTTTTAAGAATGATCTATGTATAGCCTAGGTAAGTGCCGTCTTAAGATGTGATTATTGTTATTCAACTTGAGTTTCGAAGAAATGTCCAAACATGTATCTGCATGCAATTATGACCTAAACTTGATATTTATTTTCGTCTAAGTTGTTTGAGGTATCGCATTTAAATTAACACCACAGATAGTACATATCATTGCCATCTGCAGAATACAAAATAATATATTTATTGTTTTTTCACGTTAAGGAATAAATTAACTCATTGCAGAAGATTTCTAGTAGTGTTCAAGTTCAGCACGTCATTAAAAGAAAATGTTTTTTTTTTTTTCGCTTCACGTTCCTGGGACGTGTTTCTTTTAGCCTGTACACATTTTAATAAAAGAAACTTGTTTCGAAGTTCTGAACCTCTGAATATGCAAGAATAGAACACTTCCGACGAATTCTTGATAGTTTTTTTTTTCTCCTGCTTTTTATTCCCGCATTTATTCTTTTTTTTTTTTTTTTGTTACTATCGGCACAGGTGTTTAGGTCGAAAAGACATAGCTTTGAACTTCCGAACCACTAAGCATGTGACGAGCAGTGCCTTCTGACAACGAGTTTCTAACAGTGACCATCTACGCAACCTTTTATGCAGTGAAGAGCGACAGTAGCTATACATTTGCATAAATAATTTCAGATTAAAATAAGCTCGACCACGCTCTCTTTTCCCGTATTGTTCACTTTAACAGTCCGAAATACCTGCAAAGGGGAAGAAGAGGCTGAAGCCCCCCCCCCCCCCCCCCGCTACCCTCTTTCCCCCCGTTTTTCCTCTTCCGACGCCACTTGTATGGTAGAACGCTCCTCGACCTCGAGTTGTGTCGGCTTTTGTGCTTTTTGCGAGGCGATTCCTAATGTAGTAAGATTTTCTAACAAAAGACAAATTCTGGCCACAGAATATTTCCTAGGTGTCACACGTTTAACGGTTGTACCTGAATATAAATATCTGGGAGTTTTATTTTCTAGTAACTTGTCATGGAATGCTCATGTTGATTATTTGTCATCTAAGGCCAGCCGCACATTAAACTTTCTGAGACGCAATTTTAGTCAGGCACCTACTAACCTTAAAGAAACATTGTACATATCGAATGTACGTCCCATTTTGGAATATGCATGTGCGGCATGGGATTTGCATACCCGTCACACCATTGAACAACTCGAACGTATTCAGAAACGGGCAGCTCGGTTTGTCTCCGGCAATTATGATTTCTCTATAAGATCATCTGAAATACGCCGCAACCTGGGATGGCCTCTGTTGGAAGACAGACGAAGGTTCCTTAGGCTCACTTTATTTTTTAACATAGTAAACGGTAGGACCGGCATCGAGAAAGAACGTTATATTAGGGAGCCCAGTTATGTGTCGCCGCGTACAGATCATCACTTAAAAGTACGAGAATATAGATGCAGAATTAACGTTTTTAAGCACTCGTTTTTTCCACGAACAATACACGAATGGAACAATTTACCAACTGAGGTTATCTCTGCGGCTCCTTCATCCTTTCCTACTGCCCTAAAAAACTTGCTGTTGGAATAATTTTTCACTTTGCCCTTCTAATAGTGCCATTCACTATACTTTGTTTTCATATATTGTACAAAGTGTTGTATGTTGTATTTTTCTCCTGTCATATCCACTATTTCTGCATCACAATAGTTCTTGTGTATCTCTATATGTATCGTTTGCTATTGTTTTGTATTGCCCTACCCCCCTACAATAATGCCCAGATCTGGGCGATGTAGGTATTCGAATAAATAAATAAATAAATAAAAAGCGTGCAAGGGGTGGCGAGGTAGTTTGCCAGGTCGCTTCCAGGTTTTTCTGAGCCTCAACCTCCTGCTCGCCCCTGGCCGTTTCGAACTGGATGAGTCTCGTAAAACAGTGTGTTCGTGCAATCACTACTGCGTAATGCAGGTTAAAGACCCCCCCCCGGGGCTGGCGGTCACAATTCTGCACTGGCAAATATTCTAGCACGTCCGGGACACTCGTGTCTCATTTAATTGCCTGACCAACTTCGCAGAATCTAGATATCACACCCTAACTTTTCTAAACTTGATTTTGTGAAAACCAGTGAACGTTATTTGAAACTGAAACTGTAGAAAAACTTGAAAATCGGACTTCAAACTTTGAAAACTTGGATTAGAAAAAAATTCAAAATCTTCGAAGGTTTTTTCTTTTTTTTGAATTTAGCGTTAAAAGAGAATCGAAACTTTCGAACTTTTCGAACTTTATGCCAAAAGAAATTCGAAATCTTCGAATTGTTCGAACTGTATGTCTATAAAAATTCGAAGCGTTCGAAGTTTTCGAATTTTTTTTACAAAGAATTTTGAAATCTTCGAATTTATCGAACCTGAAGTAAAAAAATATTCGAAATATTCGAATTCGAAATTTTAGAAACCGTGAAAGCTTCGGAATTTTCGAATTCGAAACTTCGCTGTGGACAAAAGTTGCGAATTTTTCGAAATCGAACCTCGGTCGGTACGAAAATATCGAAATTGTTCGAAATCGAACCTCAGTTCGCTTCGCAAATATCGAAACCTTTCGAAATCGAACCTAGGGTGGTTCGCGACATCCCTAGTTACCATATACTCCGCATCTCGCGGTAACCGCTGGTAGTACTACACTGTACGATGGTAGCTGCACAGCGTTCATTTGCAATCCATGGCTCTCTCGCATTCTCGCACAGGCACAGACATTTGCCGAATCTGAAGTTCGGCAGATTCGGTCCATAGCTATATCTAATAGCGAGTTTGTTTCACGGCACTCGTGCCCACGCGTGCCCACTCGCAGCGTGGAACGGGTTCGTTTCGGCCGGCACTCCACGAGTGGTTGCACTCTCCGAGTTCGTTTCAGCGCTGGACACCTTACGCGTGCATGCACTCGCTGCACCGAGAAAATCGGGAGTGCGCCCAAATGCAATCCCGTCATGCCTCGCTCCGGTGGGGCCGGCGAAGAGCGGGAGCAGGCGATGAGGGTTCGTCTGCTACGATGTGTCGCAGAACCGAACGGAAAAAAAAAAGTAGATTTTCTGATAGAAATCGCGTCCGACTGGTATATTTCAGCGTTTGTAAGGCAACGAAATCAAATGCGAGCTTGAATTGTGAGCGTCTGCTGTTTCACGAAGGAAGCAATTGACAACCCCCGATTTATTTGCAGGTTTTAAATCGCTCTGTTGCCGTACAAACGCTGAAATATACCAGTGTGTAAAGAAATGTTCAGAACAAACACAACAGTGGCCCCCGAGCCCCCGAGATGTCTATCACCATCCGTGAGCGGTTGCAAAATTTAACATTTGTCAACAAAACTCCCCCAGCAGAAACCTCCGACTGCCCAATAAGCATCAGAGAAAGCTAAAGATGGAGACCTTACCCGAGGATTGGGCAACATCATCATGTTTAACATTTACCTACGTCAGCTAACTTGACCCGTCGTATTTTGTTCGAGAAAGCTCTCGTTCTCGACGCCCTCACCAAAGCTAATATCTAATCCACCTACAATGACGATCCAAATTCGAAAGTCCCAGTTTTGCTGGATATTCCAACAGGCTAGTTTTAAGCCGTACCCTTTCAGTGGTTCACGCATAATACCACGCTCAAACGGATCAAGCTTCTGCTCGGACAGCATCATCAGTTTTCTTCAGTGTAAACGGTCATAAGAATTGAAAGATCGCAACCAACCTGTTTGTATACAGCTGGTTGCGGAAATTTACGCCGTCTGTAATTATCTCTACAGCAGCCTAGCTGCTTGAAGTCATCGCAACTATAAACTACAGGTTGCAGCGACCAACGTTTGTATATAAACGTTGGTAGCGATTGCATTCTCGCATTCCCACGCATCACTCCGAACAGAAAGGCGCTAGTTTCGGTTTGAAGTCGGTACCTTTTCTACAACATAGATGGCGGCAGCATCAGTCCTCTGCACTCGGTGCATTTGGCGAGTTCGTTTGAGTCCAGTTTTCTGTGCAACACTCTGTGGGTGCGATGCATTCTGGGAGAGAACTCGAACAGTGCCAGAGCGTGTGAAACGAACTCGCTATAACAACATGGAAGCATTGTCTCTCACAAATATAGAATCCACAGGTTTATTGGCAGGTGTGAACACACAGCGGAGTTTGGAACAAGTCCTCTGTTCAAACCGTCTCCGCCATTACCACACAGTGTGCATCTGTTGCTAGTGGTTGTACCTCTTCCGATGGACATCTAAATTCCATTTCTTTGTAAACCTCCTTCCGCAGACCTCGCACAAGTATGGTTGCTCTCCGGTGTGACTTCTCTCGTGACGCACCAAGTCGCCCCTTTTCACAAACGCCTTCTGGCAGCTCCGGCATCTGAACGGCTTTTCGCCCGTGTGAATCCTTTCGTGAACGGTGATGGACGCCCTATAGCGGCTGGAATAAGGGCAGAAACGGCATCGGTGCTGACTTTTCACTTGAGCAGTCTTCCATTGCGGTACAAACAGCCTGTCTTCTGGAGGAGAGAGGTCACCCTTGCTCCTCTCGCAGTCAAAGCTCCCCACTTCACTGTGAGAGCCCACCTTGGAACAACCTGTTGGGGTGACACGACAGACTTGTGTCACATCAGAGGAATGTTCACCTTTTCTGAATGCAGATTAGTCGATGGCATTCGAGAACTGCTTCAGCCAAAAGTAGACATTTGTTCTCTCACTTTGATAATTTAAAGGGTGGTTTAGATATCTGGTGTTCGTGTTGTACTTGTAACCGCTTATAGGGAAGATGCACATTGGTGCATGTGTGCCACCTATCAGGCAGTACTGGAAACACTTCTGATTGTCGTACAGCTAGACTGAAGGTTGTACAGTATTTGCAACATCAAATCTGCACTATCATGAGAAATGGTCACTTGAAACATTGTCCAAATTATAAAATTTCTTTATAACTTAAAACTAAAAAAAAAAGGACAGTGAAAGTTACACTAGTGCAGTTTGTGCAGGTGAGTTATACAACCAGGGGGACATAGTATAGGGGGCTAATCAGAATGATCAGTCGAATAGTTAACTCAAATATGTTAATGTTTTTATTCTTGAAAAAGAACACAGTTCTAATTAAAAAAATTACTGAGCCTCGTCGAAAATCATCAAATGATTCAATATTTAACAGACTTGGAGCACATGGGAACACAACAAAGCACTAGAGTCACTACTCATGCACCAAGAACAAGGCTACCAGTGCAATAACACGCCCGCACGTTTTTTTTGCCTCTTATCAACCGCGTTTTCTCACCCCAAACTTGTGCATGTTGCACGTGTGGTTACTTTAACGCACTACTACGCTCCCCATGCACTCAGCCCATTACAAAAGTACCGATTAAGGGGTTTTCGATGATGCTCAGCATGTTTCAAATTGGAACCGTGTCTACTTTCACTAATTGAAAAGTTGATTAACAAATCTTTAGTTCATTATTCAACTTGTCATGACGATTGGCCCTCTATATTATGATCTTCTGTCAGTATAACTCGCGTACACAAACCGTATAACCCCTTAAGTGCCTTGGACAAGCTGAGCTCGTCGGCCACTTTCTGACTACAGATGCCGTAGACAAGCTCAGCTCGTCCAGTGGTTTTTTCGGTAGCCCTCAATTCCACGGACGAGCTAGGCTCGTCCGAGTAGTTTTGTGGCGCTGATCATAGATGGCAGCACTCGTTTTAGTTGGGAAATATTTTTTTCGCCTCCGCTGATTTTTGCGTAATAAACTTTTAAAATTTTACGTGTAATACTAAAGGAATAACAATTCAAAATAAAAAAAGATATGGCACTTTTAGGTTACTTAATGAAAAAAAATTTGGCACTTAAAGGCAGGCGCTCAAAATTTTCTTCAGCGTGGCAGAAATTCCCTCTTTTCTTTTTTCCTCCTCCCCTTTCCTCCTCTATTTTCCTCCTCCCTTTTTTACGGCCTTCTTGCATGAGTGCTAATGGGCTTACCGGCCCCCCGACAAAATCTCTGTAACCCTTCAAGGTTCTCTGCTTCAATCCCAAACATCAGGTATTAGTTATGCAGCCTGGACATGAGCTCGGAAGGGTTCGGGCTGGCTCGTTTTTCTTCTTTTTTTTTTTCTTTTCTTTTTAATCTTTTTATGCAGCTCTAAAACACATTCAGATAGTCAACACCAACTAGCCCAACAACAAGTTCTTTTACATTCAGATACTTCCGTGTGCGGCCACATACGCTACAACACTGTATACGGTATATTTATCTCGAGTGAACGAAACTCGAATATCACAGCAGAAGGAAAAAAATATGGGTATTTTTATCTGAACTTTGAGCTCTACCCAGAGAGTTGAAAATTGGTCGTTCTAACAACGGCACACTGAAGAGTGATTGTATCACTATTGTGTTGTTGTTTTCCTGTTTTTTGTACAAAGTAATAATCATGAGTAATTACAAGTCAAAGATATTGCAGTCAGTGGGACATAGTCTGACCATTTCTGGGGCATAATATATAGGTTCGTACTACAGGTGTTTTCTAGAGTGACGGTCGCCTCGTTGAAGCTACCAAGAATAAAAACAAACTTCCATAAAAAGTGAAACGGTTTCTGGTATATTTCATCTATCTTCAGCCTTAAAAAAAATTTCTTCGTGGCCAAACATGCATTTAGTTTCCGTCAACAAATGTAACTGAAAACTTGACAGCCGACAAATATCTTGCGTATCAGCAAAGAGAACGGGAAACACGGAGATTGAACTGCAATATCACAATTTTCTTCGCGTAAAATAGTGCAACTAGCAATAGTAGCATATTATGCCAATTACTAAAAGACAGGAGGTATTACGAAGTTTTCATTCTCTTCCGTTCCCATTTGTTCGCTGATTAAGAAATGGAATGCCCAGATAGCCTCTGCAGCCCTCGCATCATAATTGTTCGGGGCTCTGCCAGGGTGGTCAAAGGCCAGCGACCATCTCCAAAAAAAACACACAAAAAAACCAGGAGTTCGGAAGGTGTACTACCACAAGTTTTGGGGCTGCTTGTCTAATTTAGGCGTCTGGCGTTTCCCGGCCTAGTTAGAAAAGAAGCGGAACAGCGGCCAGCTCAACGTCGTCACCAAGCGGGAAATCATGCCGAAATGTGTCCTTGAACACGTGCGAGATCTTTACCCGAACCCAGCCGGGATTCGCCACAATTCATCTATGAAAAAAAAACTATAAAAAGGGGTAGGCTTAAACGATTTTGCAATTTTTTTAATATAGTCATGCGGACTAACTGTCCACAAGTACAGAAAGAAATGCAGTAGAATTGCAGAGCTCTATTGTGGTCTTTATGTCCATACTTGTCTTTCGCGCTGTACGCGAATTAAAATAAATTCTGCAATATCTGTAGATTATGCCTGGTTATGTTGTCTCTAAAAGAAAAGTAATCAAGCAAGTTCGGTATCGTGCAACAATTTGTGCAAATACAATTTTATGTGGAATTCAACGTCAAAACAGTACTTCCGCGGGAGTACTGTTTTGACGTTGCATCCGTCGTTCTTCGTCTCCCTGAAGCTATGAACTACCGATCTCGGCTACAGGACTTTTGGGTCCATAAAATATCACGCTCACTAGAAAATTCGCCTTTTTCTACCAAAAGTACTGGAAATTATTTATTTTTAAAACAGGTCGGGTGGTGATGCGTGTTTGAGTGTAGGACCGTTGACTGGGCACTGGTTTGCGCCAAGAGTGCAGTGCTTCCTTTCATGCTGCCTGCGACGAGTGTTGAAATTTGAATATAGTAGAAATAAAATCCACTGACACTCTTAGAATTATTTTAAACTTGCGCTTTCTTCAGGAATTAAGATTTTGATCGTACCTTTTACGGTATTCATTGTCGTCTTCGATGAGGGAACAACTTGCCGAGGAGGCCGCGCTGTCCGCGTCCGCGGCTTGACAGATAAGGTCGCGAATGCTTTTTACGAATCTTTAAAGACCTAGCATAAAAATGAAAGACGCTTACAAATCTCTGTAACGTGAAATTAGAGCGCAGCCACTTTACGCCAATGAAACCAACTTTATGTTTTGGGCAGACGTCTTGCGAGAGTTGCAATATTTTTAATTATGCCTCATAAATTAAATGTTTAGGACTAAGTGCCAAACTTTTTTAAATGTATTAAGAACCGAAATGTCAATTGGAAAGTTCTAGAGCTCCTTGAGAAGCACCCGAATTAGCTGTTTGCAACGTGATACGGCTCGCGTGGCTTCCTTCTGACCCGTAACAAAGCTTATGAAACATGACAAAATACCCCGTGATAAAGCGCCCGCACCATCATAAACTCAATTTTGAATGTCCCGGGATTTGTTTTTATCGGCCGGAAAAAAAAGAAAAAGAGATGCATGCAAGATACGGTGCCTCACGCTTTATTTATATCAGAAAAGAACTGCCCTCTGTTTTATATACAGCGTTGTTTTTTGTTTTTTTTCACCTGCTAGATATTAGAAAGAACGTGCAAATTAACGTTTTGTGGATGTGAGATATACGGCCAGGTGAAGATTGGGTTCAAGAAAGAACGCAGCAAAAACCGACTGATTACCGAACATTCGTTAATGAACTTTTTGATTATATAAGAAAACGGGATAGTTGATTCATGAAGTTGTTGGGCATAATCGAAAGCCACCAAATTGTCCAGTGAAAATTAGCGCCATTGCGGTTTGTGTAGGTGAGCTATATGGCCAGGCGAAGATTAGGTTCAAGAAAGAACGCAACTAAAACCGACCGATTGCCTAAAATTCGCTAATTAACCCTTTAGTTAGATAAGAAAACCGACGTCGTGTATTTAGAACGTTGTTGGCATAATCGCAAGCCACCAAACCGTCCATTCTTAAAAAAAATGTAACGCGCGAACACTATTGTACGGCGTCCTGATACGGCGTCCTCCTAATTTGGGCGCGAAAATATAGTTTTGATTTTATGTGGGCTCCATCTCCGCGTGGCACAGCCTAACGCCATGAAGCCAAAGCGACAAATCATGCGCATCGCTGTGACAACGCCACTGTAGAAGAGGCGAGGAGTGCGGCGGCCGAAAAGATTGCGGTAACACGATTCGCATCCAAATTAGGCTTTTTAGGACGCCGTGAACCCCTTCACGTGCACTACATCTCTTTAAAAATGAATGATTTGGTGTTTTGGAGATTTGGAGATAAGGCACAAACCGAAATTGCGTAACTCGGACGTCTTTTCTAAAAAAATGTCTAATCATCAAAAAAAAATCGCTTTAGCTGTATAAACACGATTGTAAGGCAGTTCTTTACGTCCGGCGACATCATTACGGCATGGAAGGACACGTTAACCACAGATCATACGCTGTCTATGATCTGTGGTCACTGCTTTTTTTTTTTTTTTTTTATACGAGAATGAGCAAACATTTGATACCAAATAAAAGATATAGCATTCACCAAATTCGGCTTGTTTTACTTGATTCAAATCGATATTTGATTTTATTACACTTATTTTTTTACCCGCACACGCCTCTTTTATTCCCTAATAAGTTACAAGTGATAATTACATTGTTTTTTTGTCGTGCAAGGTCATCACAATGTATTATTAACAATCGGAGCAGTGCGATTACGCGGAGGAGGCGCATTTGAAGATATTCAAAATTGTTCTGAATACAGAAACAACCTCAAACGTCTTGCTGTTTCGGTGCTTTCCTACACGTAGGACCAATAATAGAGCCAAAACCTTATAGAGGAGACTATCTCTATCAACTCAACGCGCAAACACGATGTGAAGCGTGTCTGCGTACGTTGGAAAAGAGATACCGGCGACCAAACCATAGCGTCGAATGTCCATGCATCAAAATGTCCCTGCACCGAAATATCCGCGCACCGAAAAGTCCCACACCAAAAAGTCTGCAGCAAGAAGTCCGTACACTGAAATGTCTGTGCACTAAAAAGTCCGCACCGAAATGCCCTACAGCAAAATGCTCTACGCCAAAAAGTGCTAGACCCACTACGAATGGGGTCCTTCGTTACCTCTGCCGGTTTACGAGCCATAATGATTCAGAACCACTGGTCTATGGAGCGCCATCCCTGATATACGGAAAACGCCGCTCGTACTTCTCGTTGTCGCCATGAATCCGACAACGAAAGATGCCAAATCAGATATTTATATTAAAATTGATACTTCAATGACTACTTCTTTGAGCAGAACAAGGCATTTGTGCTCTCACAACAGCAAAGAATCGTTTTCCAAACCAATGCTAAAAAAGAGCCAATGCAACTCGTCGGGAAGAGCAAGTGCCAAGCTCACTCAAAACAGCTACTCGGTTGGTTCAGCTCCTTGTCGCAGGTGTGCCGGCTGGCTTCTGGATAATCTTTTCAAATCCTCGAAGCTTTCATTTCCTCCACCCCAAACTTGTCAAAAAAAAAAAATCGGAAAATGGCGAGGAGGAAACGAGGCGATTTCCTCCTTTCACAGTGGTGAGAAGGAAAGTGAGGGTTGGGTTCCTTCTCTCTGCTTGCGGGCCGGCCTTTAAGGGATTGTTTTTTTTTATTGGGTTTTTTAAAAGAAACGGTAAAGCCTAAAATGTCATATTTTTTGCCCACAGTATGCAAAGAAACGAAGGCGATAGCGGTAGCATGGTCACGCAATGGCGGTGAAATGGCGCTGTCACATACATGAGGACAGAGGTGAGACATGGTTAATTCCCACAGCCGTCGTGGTTGGCGTCGTGGATGCCACTGACGACTGCCACGAGTGATCCGTGAAGTAAGTGCGATGAGTTTCTAAAATCATCCAATATTACGCGTAGCAACTGGATACTGCCAAAATAAGATTTCACATAATGCGAAGAATGTTTGAAAATAACTCTTTTGGAGCAGATGACATGGACATTCTCCCTGCGACATGCAATTATTGTCGGGACGCCTGGGCTGGCCTCTGCTTTTCTCGCGAGCCACGGCCGATGGGATGTCCCCGACTTCCATCTCCTCGCTGCAAGAGTGGAGAGAAGAAAGTTCTTCTCTTTTTCGGGTGCGCGGTGACGACAGAAGACTAAGTTGAAAACTCTGCAAAGTGTCGCTTGTAAAGCTATCGCTTTAAAGGGAACACACTGTATGTGCACATCAGAAATGTTCTTGCGTTACCTGATAAACGGCGTAAGTGTGCCATATTTTCTCTCGTCATAAGCTCTTCCGAGCGAGCACAATACACATTGACCCCACTCGAGCATTAATATATGAATTAGCGTTAAGAGTGCACATCGAGTTGAACCGAGTGTACGCAGGTCCGAAGAAAGGTACAGTACATATCAATAATGTTCGCGCGTTGAAACTATGACGCATACTTTATCTAAAACTAAACTTATCGGTCTGCAGCTACAAACATTTTCGTTGACCTTGCTTAGATGATGTAACCATTCAGGCCTCGCATTAAAAGGTGTTGCGAACTCTTCGGTTGTTCTAGTTAATTGTGCTAAAAAGCGGTTGGATGGAAAGTATGACAACTACAGCATACAAGGGACGATTGAGGTCTTTATCCTGCATTCTATGTATCGAAAGATCGGTATCATTGGTGTTATACTGTGATCATTGGGTCGTCGATCGTCCTGTTTTTACGCATAATGTAAACAAGCCCCAGAAGCGCCATTCTCATTTTGATGTGCTTGTGCACCCTTACAAGCCTCGTTTCGGCTCTTGTGGAAAGCTTTATTGTAATAGCAATAGTCTCATCGGTCATTCGAGTTGCATGTGCCACGGTGATATCTGCTGTGTGTGATCTGCTGACGAACAAGTCTGTATTAAATGCGAGGAGAACGAAGGTAAAGCTTTTTTAACTGCTTTCTTGTTACAGAACAGGGCAAAGCTTCTAAAACAAGAGCAACCTAAGCTGATATTTGAGTGTGCTCAAGAATGAATGGCAAAAGGTGCTTATACTAAGTGGTAGATGTATGCAGTTGATTTTCTGTTAACTTGTTAACTTCTGCATTGTAAATTGGAAGATATGTACACGTCTCCTTTTGAAAATGTCTTCTATTAGGGCAAAAATAAGTTTTCATACACAACCGAAGAGTTCGCAACACCATTTGATGCGAGGCCTGAACGGTTACATCATCTAAGCAACGTCAACGAAAAGGCTTGTAGCCGCAGACCGATACATTTAGGTTTAGATAAGTATGCGTCATAGTTTCAGCCTCAAACACGCAACATTGTTATGTACCTTTCTTGATGACAACTGCACCTTTGTAAGAGCCCACGTCGTCGAACACTTGCACACATATCTTGACTATGGTATGGCAAGATTCCTTGCTTGAAGCGAAGATCATCTCGCTACGACTAGCTACGACCACCCACCACAGCGATGCACGCGTCGAAGGGGCGCAACGCAGTCAGTCACTGTCACCCGACGCTGCTTGTTGGGCACTCACGGCTTTCCGCCCAGGTGTGTGTACCCATATCATCACATTTTTAGCAAATTGAATGGTCCCACCTGTCACACTGTTAGCTTTGGAAGTAAACCAATTCACAATACCACCAGTGGCATACATCGTGCCAAGCATTAGTGCCGCATGTGGCACAAAAATGTCCTAACTAGGGAAGCAAACTTAATTGATCGTGTTGATTAAAGCACTTAAGTACGGGAGAAATCATCAATCAAAGAAGGTCACTCGAAAGAGAAATTTTCTTGCCGAACGAATATGACTTCTTATTGGGCGTTCCGCAATGTAAGGCAGAAGACATTTACTCCGTGATCGGTACAGAAGCATTTGCTTAGCAGTCGGTTGTGCGTACTAAAATTACACCATCTTCCCGAGGGGAATCATGGGGTGATGCGGAGCATCGTTCCATCACACTTCATCGGAAGAACGAAGTGAAGTGGAGTCAACAGCGGTGAACTGAACGCGCGCAGAAATTGGTTTGCTCTTTATGTTTAGACAGCCTTGATGGAGATGCGCCTCAACGGGTAATCGGTCTCTTAGCTGTAGATCAGAAATTTAGCCAGTGCAGTACAACCGCTAACCTGGGATTCTTAACGTGCATCACGCAGTAGTCATCACACGAACGCGTGCCGGTACGAAACTCGTCCAGATCGAAACGGGCGGGGGTGGCGGGGACTCGAACCCAGGAGGTTCCCAGCGCAAGCTTTTGCTCTACGCTCCGAGCTGAAACGCGTTAGCCCACTCGGCCACTTCCTCCCCTTGAACGCGCGCAGCGCGCTACCGCTGCTTATATTCAAACTTGAAGGAGAAGAAACTAGAGGAGGAGAGTTGCGCCTGCGCGCGCGGTGTGAGTAAAAGCGAACGCACGCGAAGTGCATGCAGCTGGCAGCTGCGTGCACTTCGCGCAGCTGTTGAAGAGAGAGAGAACGCTCGCGCAGCTGTTAGAGAGAGGGACGCAGCTGGTAGCTGCGTGCACTTCGCACAGCTTTTGGAGAGAGAGAGAGAATGCACGCGCAGCGAGGAGAGTTACGCATGCGTAGTGTGAGTGCGGGCTACGACGCCACGGGACATAGCCGGAGCAAGAGATGCTCCGCATCTAAAACAACAACAAAAACAAAAGTAGATTAGAAACGCGATAGGTTCGCCTTTGCACGGAGTACTTACACTCAAAATCGTGTCAATATAAAGCGACTATGGCTCACCTTGCTAGCAGCAATCTTAAAATTTATTTGTGTAGTCGTCGCACCCGTGCACCAACCGAAAGCGTTGCTGCAAGCCCCTCCGCCGTCAATTTTGAGTCGCTGTTGAGTCTGAGGAACTGCTCTATGAGGTCCATATCTAGCCACTGAGCACATACACAAGCACAGGAAATAATACTCGGTTCCAAGTACAGGTGAAGAACCCGGGGCGGAAAGCCCTGAATGCCAAACGACCTGTGTTGGGCGACGGCGACTGACTGCGTAATACACAGGTTGCGCTCCTTCGACGCCTGCATCGCTGCGGCGGGTGGTCGTAGCAGATTGTGTCACCTCTGTTGCTTGTACCGGAACACTAGAGCCGCGTAATATTCTTGCTGCCGAAGTTTATAAGCAACGTTTGCGGCCAACGCATTTACACAAAGCCAACGCCCAGAGAACCTATCCCCCTCGTTCTCCTTCGGCGACCGGCCGCCAGGGCGGTGACACCGTCGCTGAAACTCCTCAATAGGGGAGTAGCTTGCACCAATACAGTGGAGCGGTTGCGAAAGTCGCCTGTGGCATCCGGTTCCGTGTCAGTGTTTGACCGCTTGGAAACGTTACCGAGCATTCGGCCGGCCCGTCGTTCCTCTAGCTCGGATTTGGAGATGCTCCCGGAGCTCAGATATCCGATTTATAGGATTGGAGTGCTGGAAAACGACCGGCCGAACATACCATAAGCGTGAAAATGGCAAGTAAAAACCCTTCACCAGAATTACCCGGGGGTTCTTCTATGGTGGTCGGAATGGTGGCAGGAGTGGTACTGGTGCTTGTCTTTCCTCCACCGTGCACCTCCATCCACCAACCCGACACAGCTTTCTGGAAGGAGAGAATGCTCCTCCCGTCTCCATGGTTGGTGGTCTGCCATTCAACGTTGAATGCTGCCTTGGCGGACTCTGCTGGGAAGGCAGATAGAACACCATTTAGTTAGTTTCTGTAGACTCTTTCTCTAAAAATGCCACAAGGAGGCACAGTTGCATTTTGCATCCAAACAAACTTTTGGTCAAATGGGAAGAGAAACACTCTCCACTATAACAACCCTCTTTCAAACCCACATATTTCATCACCAATTATGCTGGCATTAAGCTAAAAGGTTGGTCAGGGAGACATTTGCTGGACATTTTAGGACACTCCTATAATACAACCGATCACCTGGTGTACATGTTGACTAGCACAGCAGAAGGACCTCGCTAAGCGTCCAACTTCATTGTAGCAATTGTGGCATAAACAAGCTCGGCAGAAGTCGCTTGGAATACAAGAAACGGCTTGTGTTTGTAAACATGGAAAGGGCTAACTGATTTGCACAGCATTTATGCCAAAAAAAGAGACAACACTTGCACAGGTAAAGTCAGACAGTCAACTTTTCAATTTGTCTAAGGGATACAATAAAAAGTTGGAAGAAACAAAGAATCGTACACAAACAAATGCACCATTTAAAAAAGCCCCCCAAATATGCTGCTGTAAAAAACAGACAAACATAAAAAGTCAATATAAATGTGATGTCTGTGCTTGAAGATACCTGTTATTTAACAAGCATGGTCCGAGTTTAGTTCCATGCTTTGTACTGCCCACGAAACAGGACAACACATGACACTGGTTTTGTTTCTGAGGATGGGATGGTGACAGATTACACGTGGTAGGCTTGCTAGTTAAGTTGGGGCCGACACTGGGAACAATTGCACTTAAAGGGGCACTAAAGTGCTTTTTGAGATACTTGCTTTATTGTTATAACTCAATCTATGTACTCTAAGCATCTTACAAAACCTGAAATTACATTTCACGTTTCGGTATTAACAAAGTGATCAAAGATCCCAACACTTACCGTTGGCGCAGAACGACAGATGGCACTACCGAACCAGCTGAATATGACATAATGCTGGACGACACTTGTCAACCACTCGTGGGCGATGGTTTCTCGCATGGACGGGTAGGACTGGTCAACCACTCATGCATGTGGGAACCCATCGCTCGCGAATGGCTGACAAGCATAGTTAGTCGTATGACCCCATCCAGCAAGGTTCAGTAGTGCAATATGTTGTTTTGCACCAGTGGTAAGTATCAGGAACTTTGATCCCGTTTTTAATATGCAAATCGGCAATGCAGGGATGCAATCTCGGGTTTTCTAGGATACATGAAGCTTATAGATTGAGTTATGGCCTTAAAACGAGGATCTCAGAAAGCACTGTAGTGCTCCTTTAAGACATTTTGCTAAATTACCAAACAGAAAGGAGCATACTGTGAGTGTGGCAACACGCGCTGTATGCACTGGTGTCTGAAACAGTTACTGTTTTAAAGCAAAAATTTAAATCAAATGGCACTTTGCACGTACGTTCGTCAACACCTTGTTTTGGTACAATTTCATTTATACAGGTCAGGTGAGTGACAGTAGCACACATACTGACATTCCCAGCATTCACTTCGGTGCTTGAATAATTTGGCAAAAAGCCTATTGGCCATGCTGTGGCCATATACCATTTAATCTGAATGTTGTATTTGTGTAAAAAAAAAAATGGCAGCGCAAATGCCGACACTGTTAGAGGTTGACTTGATGGTGATTAGTCCTCTTTCCAGGATGGCACCATGTTATTATCCACATGTTCACTGAAGTGATGCTCAGTCTGAACTGCAAGGTAAGAATGTGAATGTTTAGGGAACTGTTTACACAAAGGAATCATACAATGCTTGAAAATGCCATTGCACTTAAAGAACAAAACTGGCACTGGTGTCATTGCAAAAATAAAATTACAAATGGGTATATAAAAAAGTGAAAGCAGTATTACTACTAACAGGCCCCGATCAAGCCAAACTAGTTCTGCACCGAGTCAACCCATTGGATTGAATCATCAACTTCCGATTTAACTTCAGTCCTGTAACATGACGGTCTGAGCATATATTCACTAAGCTTTATTGAACTTACCATTGCCAGCAAAGTGCATGACCCTACCCACAAAAAATGATTTCATAAACGGCTAACCTCTACTGACCTAGGTGCACCGCAATTTACATGTATCCAGGCTATGGTCCTAGCCCAGGTAAATTTGCATGTTTGATATCCAGAGAAAAAAAAGGGATACAGTGATGTACCATTAATGTGGACCTCGTTATTATGGATACCCCCCATGTAGACACAGTTTTCGAGTACAAACTGGGTAAATACATAAATTTTTGTCTCCTTATTACGGACAACTCACATTAGGAGCGACCTTTGAAGAAGGCAGAGGTATCCATGTTAACTTGACTGTTCATTTTTTCAGCCCTCAGCCACTGTACTACTTTCGCATTACACTTTTACTACTGAAAACAAGTATTTACATTATGCCACATGCCATACATCCTCCAATCAACAGCAGCTTGTATATGATATCTCAGGAGCACCCAGCTCCTGGCTACATGCCGTAAGGGGAGCGGGAGCTTAGGTGTTTTACAGCAAGCACAGCAGTGTGTCACGTCGACGGCACAGGTTTATTCTCCTAATACCTGCACGCCGTTCGTTGTTCTTGCACCATCCATCGCTGCCCTGGCCAGCTATTGAAGAGACATACCAAATCAGATGAAATTAGTTTCTTAGTTTCTCCAAATAGAAGCAAACCTAGTGATTTCGCTTCTCGCCAAATGCACACTCGAACCCTTGGGTAGCAAACAGAACCAAACCGAACAGGAAGTGGCAGCTCCACCACAAAGCGACGACGACGGCAGGTGGCCGTGCACTCTCCCTTTTCCTCCTGCGGCATTTGCACCTTTTCCTGCATAGAATTCTAAAATTCATTTCCCAACAGGCTTGCCACAAACTGCTCCAGAGGCTAATTAACCCATTCGCTTCAGCAGGGGCCATATTGATGTTCATAGATGGCGCAGTATATAGACTTGGGGTAGTGTAGCTAGATGCATTGCCAAAAGATAACTTGGCCGCCAGGTTCCAACCCACGGCTGCAAAGAGTGAAATGTTTCAGTTTTTTGCTTTGCTATGATGCAACGGAATCGAGATATTTCATAAGGATGAGGCGGTTTTGCCATTCCTTTTGGCAAGATGAACAATGCAAAAATTAATAACTGCAAATTTTTTACAAGATAAAATTGTTGCAATGCCCCTTGAAATGTCCTCACATAGTTTAAAAGAAGCAGCCACTAATTTACCAAAAAAATCAAACAAACAGTTCTTTCTGTGAAGCCTGAAATCCCTATGTCAGTTCACATGCCACTTTACAATTTCTTTTAGACGCCCATTGTTACAGCCTCTTCTAAATAGCACAATCATAGCACTGAATGTTCTTTGTCAACTGCCAGAGGCCAGGGCATGACAAAGATTTGACACGAGCATTGCATTAGCCAGCCTTCAGCAGGGGGCTCGTGTTCAACCGGCGAGGACGACCAATCTTTATCAATCGCTTCTTGACTAAATCTTTCTCCTGCACAAAGTAGCACAACTGGCATTGAGGCTCTGCTACCTCTGAAACCGGCTGGGCTATTGACAGCGCCGGAACAAAGGTTCAGAAAGAAATTCCTTCGTGACACGAGCTACTTTTGTGAGCAATAAAATTACAAGGGAGCCGGGCGTGTCAGACCCAAATACTTAGTCATTAGATGCTTAGATAGTGTGAGGTAGTCTGCCAGACATTTTGGCTACATTGTTTCGCTTGCTGTAGATGAGAAATATTTCCAGTGCAGTAGGATCTTGCTAGCCTGGGGGTTTTAATGTGCATCGCCCGATAGTGATACATGGTTGCACACCGGTACGGTGGTCATCCAGACTGAAAGATGGGGATTGGACCCGGAGTTTTGGGGTCTGCAGCGTGAGCTTTCGCTCCGTGTGTTCCGAGCTGCGGCAATATTCCACCGATCTCCTGGCATATCGACCGCGTACGGCATACGATCGGGTGTAAACGATCTGGCAGGTACACGTTTGAATTTGGTATGCGGTCAATTCGGTATCGGTAATTTTGGAAGTGCGCTTTATTCATGCTTTGCAAGGAAAGGCCCCGCCGATGTGACGTCTGAAAGCACTTCCAATACTGGTGCACAAGAGGACCTTCTTGTAAGTCTTTTCCATTGTGTTTTTTTTTTGCTCATGAGACTGCGTCACTGGCACCCTCTAGCTAGTGCTATAAATAATGCTAACGTGTTGCCTGCCAGCGAGTGCAGCACGAGAAACATTTGTATTATCAGACCATAATGAAATGCTAACGGCAGAGTGCATGGTTTTCGATACCTGAGGCTTTGCCTGAAGGGAAATTAGGATAAAAATGCGCGGCAGAGATGGGGCTCCTACTGTGCACTTCTGCGAGTCCCCAGTGGCCCTCCAGGTAGTGCCAGCATGTGTCACAAGCCAGACACACTGCCGTTCCATATTCACCTGACAGTACCCTGTTACCGCCCTATGACTTACACGTGATGTTATCACACTGTACCAATGGTCATACCTAATTGTCCTTGTCATAAAAACAAATTCCGTGGTGCCTAACATGCGCCACAAAAGATGCGCGCGCAGCAGCAAGGCCCTACAGAATGGCCGCTTATGCGACGATTGTGCAAGCCATGTTTAGTCGAAAGGACTATTTTCTTTTTTTTGAATATTTATTCAGTAAAATGAGTAGTTCGTTATCTGAAAACCGGAAAATCTGGCACGTTCATTTCGATGCGAAAAACGATCACACATCAGTGGAACATACTGATGTGATTTTAGGCCATTTCCGTTTCTTCGGATAAAGGTGAACTCAACGTACCTCCACATGACACGCCTGGTCTCGAGGCTTGCCGTAGAGTAATAGCGAAGTTTCCTAAGTCCGAAATGATGGCTGGACCCGAATGTGCGCGACAGAGACGTCAACACGGAATAGGAAATTTTATCGGTCACGCTTGTGCCCCGATTGAACACTGTCCACGGCAGTTATAACGTTAAAACCTTTTCATCCCTAGAAGAAAGAGAAAAGAAAAAAAGGAAATACTTTGCGATTTTTTGTTTGCGCTAACCGTGTCATGCTATGCAAGCGTTGTTCCAGAGCAATCGTTCACTCACCCTGCGCAGACCACATGAACCTGACTGGCAATCGCCGCTGAAAGATTTACTTTAGAGTGCACCGTGATGCCTAATAGTTTCCATGATCTGGAAACGGCACCACGGTACTTCGTCGTAGTAGCACAACCTCGAACACGACCGGTATGTTGCTCCGGAGAAGAGATCGGATGCAACTATAACTTTCGATTGCCAGATTAGATTCGTGCCGCGCCTTGATCTTCGTGGCAGCACTGCTCCAGAAGGTAAGCAAAACCACTTTGAGCGCATTCACATGAAAGCAGTTGAGAAAAGCATGCCTACGCAAGATAGAAGGTACTAGGTACGTCGAGCAGACGAGCAGACAAACCATCCCTTGGCAAATTTGCAAGCAGCCAACCGCTTGGATTGGATTGACCAGATTCTGGTTTGAAGCTATAATTGGATTCAGTTGGCACATTTTTGTACGGATGGATAGATGATATTGGCAAAGCCTTTAATAACGGGCGGTAGCTTGCGCCAGCTAGCCTTAGTCTAAAATAGACAAACATGATTCTTCCCGCCCTTCTAACCCAATGGACCTTTTCCACATACCGACGGCACCAGGCGGTGGCTGCACGAACTGAAAATCGAGGAAGTGACCTACATGCACTACCAATCGATAATGGCAGCTACGCTACCAGTTTCTTCTCTCTGAGCTGCGTCGCGTGGCGTCCACACAATCGTTGTGTTTTTCCTTCCGTTCACTTTCTTTTTTTTTGTGTAACCCAATTATATATATGCTGCACTTACCTGTTCTACTCGCTTATTTACAGGCTCATTCCGAATTTCCTCGATTTTTCGTTCCGACTTCCGCCGCTTGGCATCGAGCGCTCGCGCGTGCGCAGAACGCTTCTCGGAAAAGGTCCATTATCTCCCCTTAGCTATCACCAGACAATGTGGGATATTACCAGGACGAGGCTTTGGAGTATCAGGCAAAAAAATCCCGCTCGCTCGTTTGCAGTGTTGCCAACTCGGCACCAAGATGACAATTTGTGCAACAATTTCAGTGTTCTACTCAAATAATTTGGGAGTTGGTGATAGTCCCCCTTGTGACGCCACTGTGCCGATGCATCTGGTCCACCCTGGAAGATCTTTTTGAGTATTTTAAAACAGTAAACTCATTTTCCAGTGCCTCCAAGCACCGACACAGCATGCGGTGGTGGTACGAACATGTACGCTTGTTTCGCCGGTGTGTAGGTAGCAAAATCTCAGTATACAAGAAAGGTCTCCATAAAACTACCCGTCACCAGCGAATTTAGATCGGCTCACCAAGAACGGGGGGTCAAGGAGAAATTGCTCATTTCACGAACCAAAATAGCGACAATGCGGGGATCTTGGCGCTACTTTCCCAGGATCCAGTGACTTTAGTATTCATTGGACGCCATGTATGAGGGCGCTATTTGGGATCCTTTGGGCGCCACCGGCCAGTGTTTGCCCTGCCCAGCGGCGACTGTTTTATTTTTTTTTTGGGGGGGGGGGGGTGCAAAAACACATGCCTTGCCCCCCCTCTCTCTGAGAAGGGGGGGGGCGGGGCAAGCACCCCCCTTGCCCCGGTTAATACGCCCATGACAGTGCTGACAGCTGACATACCGTCGTGTCGAAATAAAAATGGCATACTAATAACGAAGTGTGCATACCATGTTGCGCAGCCTTACGGCGTTTATTTGAGCTCTATATCACACAAAACAAGGAGATAGAATCGATGGGAGCAGAGGCTCTGCTTGCGGGTACCCCCGGGTACCCCCGATTCGCGACAGATGGCGCTGCGGCGAGAGGAAAAAAAATTAGAATCGGATTTGCATGGGACTCTATGGGAGAGTGCGCAAAATAAACCGAGAGCACGACAGTCCTCCATTGAAAATCCACGAGATATCATCTCTGTCAGTTTAGCCGGTCGCCACCATTCGCCCACCCAAAGCGAGAGTTCGCGGTGCTCCACATAGATGGCGCCAAAGAAAAAGAGAAAACCGAGGGGGAAACAATCCGGTCACTCATTTGGCTCTCGTTTCCCCTCCTATCTATCTTACACCCTGCGTCGGAGCAACTTTGCGTAGAAGCAGGTCGGAGTGCCTTGCTATGCCCACATTCTGCGGAGCTCGCCGAGCTAGCCCTTCGCGGTCGCTTGGTCGGTGTGTTCGCTGCCGTTGTAGCGCGTTTGTGAATCCAGCGTTCATGTCCGCCGTCGTCGGTTTCAAGTTCGTTGATTTGTTGATTCGATCGTAATAAAGTGCGTAATTCAGCTCCGGAACTGTCGTAGGATTCCATCGTAACCTGAGCAAAAGTTACGATAATTTCGTTTCGTGAATGCGAATTCGTTCTTACGTTTTGTCGTACGCACATTTTTGGCGTAATATCGTTTCGCGAATCGGGCCTCAGATCTGTAGCCGCAGGGCAGCGAACAGGAGGCGCCTCGGTCGGCTGCTTGTCAGCGTGGCTGGTAGCCAAAAAGGGCAAGTTTGGGAAGGTATTGCCACCAAGCGATTGGACAGGCGTCGCTGCGTCACAGTTCCGAACGGCAATCGGAGATTCGAGCTCGAGGTCGAGTCCAATGATCGCGGCCGCGGGCCGCCTCAGAGTTGCGAAAATTCCCCATAAGATGGCGCCACTTTTCAAACCAAACTTCATTGCCCGGTGGGTATATCCACTATCCACAAAAAATTGTCGCTCATAACATTGTCAGAATTATTTCGAGCTCATGGTGAAAGAACAACGCGTAAATGATGCGCAGACGTGAAGCGTTTTAGTTCTAGCTAGATGACGCCGTAAAATGCAGTCGATGACTGTCAAACGCAAGTTTTTCTACTTTCAGTAAACACTGCTTCGAATTATTCCTTGGCATTCATACCTAACAGCACACGCAAGTTTCTCCCTGTACGCAATGGCATGTCACGGAAAAGATTAAAGAAAAAACGAGCACCGATCCCTCCGCTCAACTTGCTTCCAGAACACGCGAGAACAAGCACAAGTTTGCGACCTTTATGTGTCCCCTGTATGTGCCGCATTCAAATATCGTCACCGCTGGGATCGCAAAGCTTGATGACAAACTCCGGGGGATTGCACTGTTGACAACGCCAACAGTACGATCCAAACAAACTCCTCATCAAGTTTTGCGAACGAGAGACTGAAAGAAAAATCCTCTATTACCCTCGCAATTATAATAATAATAACTTCATTCACCACATCACATATGGCGAGAGCTGGAGAAAAAAGCTGACAAAGCGGGTCTCCAGCCCCCTAAACATGTACACAGCGGGGACCAATTGTTTCAAACAAAGCAAGGAAACGTGACAGCAACAACATAAGCGGAAACAACCACTAAACACATACACACAGAAAAAGGATGACTAACTAGTCATCAACTACACATGAAATCAACAATAACAGAAATGTGCTCAAGACAAGTCAAACGGTAAACAACAGCAGTATATTTATTTCAAAAGTAGATAGTCGCGTAACTCACGCGGCTACAAAGAAGCGTCTTTGTCAGCGGCGTTGCGTGCGAGTAGACTTGGGTCCTACTAGTGCCAGTAAGCATGTGTTAAGTGAGAAACATGTTCCTGCTCAATATCATTGCACGGACCCCTCAAGTCCGTATGTGGCCCAGATCAGGACTGAAGAAGGCGAAAGGGCAGATATATAAATTTAAAATATGTCCTGACTGCAATTAGTTGCATGGGCAACAAACATATCTCCGTGCCCACTGATGACCACTTGAAGGTTACGAGACATTTATTCGCAAATTCAAAACACAAAATCTTCAAGATCAAGAATACAACAAGCTTTGACACACTATCATATAAAAAGTGGTATAATAAAAAAAAAAAATCTTTTACTTAATTACAAGGAATGGGGTGACAAACACTCAAAATAGATGTGAAAAGTTGGATCGCTGTGCATGTGACATCTATTTAGCCTTTGATAATGAAGGGAATGTGTCAAGCTTAACGTACAAATGTTGTCAAAAGCACGTACGTTACAAGTGCCCTAGGGAGTTTTTGACTTCGTCTTGTTCGTGCGTAAATAAATATCCTGCAGAGTGCCCCCCGAATTTAGAAAAAACAAACACCACAAATAACTTTTACGTGCTCCGCTTTCATATATATCTAAAAAAAACGGGATCATAAAATTAGATATGTCTTCTCTCTCTCTCTCGCGGCCAGAGGAGTCCAAGGCTGGATAGGAAATGTGTACAACACAGCGGTTGAAGCGCGATCGACTAACGCCACATAGAAGAAAAGGCCTGTGCATGCCGCCATCCCTAGTGAATCCCCGATTCGCCCCTAGCGGCAAAGACGCTGAAGCTCGACGAGACTCACCGCAAAGCGACTGACGCGTCCGTCTTGGCGTCGCCGCGTGTTAGCGTCGCGTTTGTTGCAAGATGCCGGCGACGCTGACTCAAGCTATGCGGAGAGCAAGTCGTCTGCTTCTTGTGCAGGGGTTGTGATGACGTCAGAACGCCGAGCTTTGATTGGCACTGATTGAAGGATAGTGGGTAGACCTCAAGGCATGTTTGCTTCGAGGTTTACCCACTATCTTTCAGTCGGAGCCAATCAGAACTTGGCGTCTTTCTGACGTCACCACCCCGTCCAAATGAAGCGGACGAACTTGCACTCCGCAAAGGCGGCGCTGAATGTATCCATTAGTGATGATGTTTTGGAGGGAAAGGTGCGGGCCCCGTCTTGTAGGTGCTATCGGCTCGGTCAACAACCTCGCAGATGTGGAAGGCCGGAGGACTATACATCGGAAAGAGGCGGCGAACGCCGAGCACGGATTTGACACTGCATCAGCGCTCGGCCGACACTCTCGTGTCCTCGCTAATTGGAGACGAGTCTCAGCCGAATGCTGACTTAGCACTCGTGTCAAATTTCAGCTGAGCGTATTGACCTCTCGTGGATGACGCAAAAAATACGTAGTCCTCCGGCCTTCTTATCTGGGAGGAGTTGGCTCGATGAACTCGAGCCGGTTTTCGGCACAGCCTTTGTCTCACTCGTCAAACTACACTCTGTAGGTGTTCTTCCTGCCTCCTTCTCCCGACTATTGAGTCAATAAAATTGATTTGAATTGCCAGTCGTCCCCGCTCGCCATTAGTAGAAGCACGAATCAACCACCGAGAGGACGAAAACTTAGAATTTCCCCCCTCATTCCTGTTTTCCTCTTTGTGATCTGTCATATATAATGCGCCTTTTTGTATGCATTTAAGACACACAAAAAAGATTTTTTTTTCATGAAGTGTGAACAACGTCAAAACATCTTTAAAACGTAGTTATGCGTCTTGGATAATTATCGCATACAACGCGCACATTTCTGGTAGATTAAAGTAGTCACTAATACTGAACAGATGTTTAATT